TTTACATTCTGTACAATTGGCTCAATTAATAATATTATTACTAGAATGGCTAAATGCCTCATGGAGATTAAATTATTTCTCAACAAACTGATAGTGCTGCCTCTAAAGGAGGCCAGGGATACATATAAACTTTAGATATATAGATTGATTTTGAGCTTATACTTAATCAAAGTCTTAATCTAAGAACAATTAGTTCTTACAATGTGGGTTTTAATAAATTAAGGATCCTAGTGAAATCTCTAATAAAATAAGTCATTTGTGGTGTGTGGGAAAAGTACAACAGAAAAAGCCAATAAAATAAATAAAACTTAATGCTAAAGTATTTCATTTACCCAAATGTAAGAAATGATGAACAGAACAAATAACGAATGGGACATATTCAACAATATTTCAACACATGAATATATCTAAGCACATGATTATCACCTATAATAAACATCAATCCATTAACAACTGTAATAAAAGGCAAGGGTTACCAACTGGGCAGAGAGAAACAGTAAATGAAAGCTCCATTAATATATGGCTTACCACAGGCATTTAAAAACTAAAAGTATATAGGTTAAGTGGTAAAGATGGTTATACTAGTTCTAGGAAATTATGAACTTTTTTTTAACATTCCATGAGGACTTTTTTTTTCATAATTAAGGAATTTATTAAGGAAACCAACCAGTTACAATGCAGGTGAGAAATGCTCAGAATATAGTTAGTTGCTCAATCATACAGACTACAAAGTGGCCACGGATAAATGCCCTGAAGTTATGTCTCCCCAATGTTAGCCTCAACTAGAAGTCCATGAGGACTTTTTATTGAAAACTCCTTTCCATGTTATTGGACTAGTAGGAAAGTATGCAGTTAAGTGGAGAGGAGAAAAGTATGCAGTTAAGTGGAGAGCCTGCAAAGATTTAATTGTAGTGACCTCAGATTAACAAGCAGTTCTGGTACGTTATAATTCTAATGCATGTAGTACTGGTTTGTGCCAAATGCTATTACCAAAATGCAGCAACAAAGAATCCAAATGACTACAAAATGTATTTGCTCATGAAATGTACTAATTAGGTAGAATATGTTAATTAAATATGATGTGAGCATTAAACTAAATTGAATATGATATAAACATACAAAAGTTTATAAACTAGCCTATATGAAACATTAGCTATGTTAACATACATATCTTGTACGTGTATATGTACATTTTAAAATTGCACAGAATATGTATGCATATCATTTATATGCCTCTAATAAAATTATGCTACTTTTCTCATCTTCCCTCTCCTGTTACTATTTTTTACATTAAATTATTAAAGTAAACAAATATTTTCTATTATGAGCCAAATTTAAAACATGAAATTCATGAAGAGGCTGTGCAAATATACCCATGATATGGACAGAGAAGATTTTGTCTGGTTGCTGTATTTAAATTCTTACTAAAACTGCTTATATAAAAATATTTCCATACCCAAATACATATGTTTGTGACTCATTCTTCCCATTTTAATAGCATAGAGCATTCACCTTTAAAATCAAGTGATTATAAAGTATACAATAATATTTTTAAACAAAAATATTCAATTGAGAAATACATGAATTCGCTTATATGTTTTAAAATGAACGAAAGATTTAGAAAAGAGTTCTCACCAAGATTTAGTGTAGATATGAAAATCTCTACCTAAACCCAAACCAACTACCCCCAAGTTAATTTTGTCTCTCAGTTGCCCTGAGAACAGAGCAGAACTGCCCAAGGGTTTCTAAGGCTGTGCCTCTTGGCAGAGGCTGGCGGCACATCCTTCTCCTGCTGTGCAGTGCAAAAGCACTGCATCATAGGGGATGTTAGAAAACATTGATTATAATCCTATGGTTAATATAATGGATTATACTCTAGGAGAATCTTTCTGTACTGAGTTATACCAGGATAAATAAAAATTGTCCTTTGAAATCACAAAATCATCTCATTAAAAAAATGTTTGAATGGGGATCTCTTGGTGTTTGACAAATCCTCTATCTATGTGATGTTATATCTCTCGAGCTCTTCCTTGGCAGGTAATCTAGAGAGTTACTGAAAGAGAAAGACGCTCAACAAGATTAATTGCCCCAATGACGGCAACAATGCTCAAGCGCAGGAAGAATTGTGTGGACGGCGCAGTAGAGGGCAGTGTTCTCTTCTGTTGTGCAGAGAGCAGCAGCAACTCGATGGAACCGGTTCCCAGCTCTTCCCTGAGAAGTCCTAGTTCTTTTATTATGTCTACCACGCTAAGATGGCATTTGGGGTATCCTCAAGGGAACCAAATGGTGCTGCTTTGAAATGCACTTGGAGTTTGGAGATAAAAAGAAATATGACAGGGCAAGACTGGAACTGTAAGACAGGTGGGAATAGACCCATGATGTAAGAAATAAAACTGAAGTAGCAATACCTTTTCGTTTGCTCTTCTACATTATTGCTCAAATTCTTTTCTGATTTAGAAATTATTACATACGTGTTGGTTGCCCTCAATCAATGCGAAGACATTTGACCATGTTCCTTTATGTCTTAATATACTGAGACACATATTTTGAGCATAGTGAACTATATCTGTGTTGCAAACATGGCGATTTCCTTTCTAATTCATTTTGATTTAAACACAAAAGAAGTTCTGATGAAACTTTATCAACAATACATACCAAGGCTTTATCCAAGATGATTTGTAGTCTCAGGTTTCTTCTCACTTGGATGTCATCAGAATTGTTCTGTGAAACATAAGACATGAATTAAAGAAACATCCTCAAATTTTACATTGTTTATATTTATCATGCTTAGGGTTTTATAAACATAAATAAAAACTCACTGCCATCAAATTGCTACTGACATACATAGTGAACCTACAGACAGGGTAGAATCGCCCGTGTGAGTTTATGAGACTGCAAGTGTTAACAGGAGTAGACAGCCTCATCTTTCTCTTGAGGAGCAACTGGTGGTTTCGAATTGCTGACCTTGCATATTACAGCCCTATGTGTAACTACTTCACCACCAGAGGTCCACTGCAGAAACATAGACATACACAAATACATGGAATCAATATACGTGTCCTGAATGATTCAAATAGTTAATGTCCCCAGGGGCTAACTGAAATACTAGGTGTTCCAGTCTACCCAGAGGTGCCTGGGAAGAAAAAAATACCTATAGTTCTCAGAAAGATCAGTCACTGCAAGCAAAATGGAGCCGAGTTCTGCTCTGACAGAGTGCATGCATGAGTAGACTCTATAACAATTGCTGTTTTAGTAGAAGCAGAAATGCAGGAAAATAAGATGGATGTGGTTGAAAATATAATTATACAAAATTTGGCAAGCAACAAGTTTTAATTTAATCTATGAAGATTTGAAACTTTAAAAAGTCACTGAAATGAGAGACTTCTATTTCTTTCATCCCATATTTTCCTCTCTTCAAATTTTCCTCTGTAGGCTCTGAGAGACTGCTTTGTAGAATAAATAAGCACCCCTGCATGTCCTGTCCATGGCCTCCCCACAGACCAACCCTCCCATTCAAGCTGAAATACCAGAGCTGACAGTCCTCTCCCAGGCTGTTTCAAGGAAGCAGTATGAGACAGCCTTTGTGTTAGTCTAGAGAAACAAATCCACAACAACTCATGTATAGGAGAGCGTTTTATATAAAGGTTAAGTGTGCACCAAGAAAACATCCCAACCCAGTGCTGCCCAAGCCCACAAGTCCAACATTAACCCATATGTCCAACACCAATCCACAAAGTCCTCCTCCATCTCATAAAACACACACTATGACACTGACTGCAGGAGGAAAGCCGAGTCAGTGAATGTGTAGGGTCTCCACACGACTGCTCCAGCCCCCAGGGCTGCCTCGGGGTAGGTCCATGTGGCTTCTTCTCAGGGACGTCCTGCAGGAAGTGAGCCTTGTCAGCTAAAGCAGGGAAGTGGCCAAGGCAGCTTCTTCCTGGTCCGGGCATCAGAAAGCAAGAGACCGGAGAACTCGAAAGGTGAGGCTCACTGAGCCATTTATTCCTCCACCCTTCAATTAATCCCACATGTGTTTATCAGCCAGGTTGGCACAATAAATCAACTAACTCAGCCTTGGAGGATCAGTTCCCTAAGAGCCCACCACCAGCACACCTGCTCCAGGCCTGCCTCACTGACACAGGTTTTCCTGTGTTATTTTAGTTGTTGTTGTTGTTGTTGTTAGATGCCATAATGCCTGTTTCAATGAAGATCAGCAAAATAACAAAATAAAATAGTGCCAGTAGTGTGTCATCCTCCATTATTTTTGTTTGAGTCCGTCAGTACAGCTACTGCGTCGATCCATCTTGTTGAATACTTCACCAAGCTTGATGTTCTTCTCCGGGGACTGATGTCTCCGGGCATATTCAAAGCGCATGAGATGAAGGCTTGCCATCCTTAGCTCCCACGAGCGAAGGCGGAAATTCTTTCAAGATAAATCTGCCTTTTTAGCAGTCCGTGGTACTTTCAATATTCTTGGACAACACCATGATATAACTGCATCAATTCTTCTTCAGTCCTATTTATTCAGTGCCCAACTTTATTTCGTTGAAAAAACTCAAGAAAAAAATTAAACCAAGTTGCAATATTGAAAGATTCTCTGGACAAAATATTGAGTGATGCAGGAAGCATCAAAGGAAAATGGAAAGAATACACAGAGTCATTGTACCCAAAATAACTCGAGGCTTAATCTTTGAGTACTTGCAGCTGCTGTGGATGATAATGGTGAAGAAGATGATGATGATGCTTCATGTGCATGTGAAAGGTAGACATCAAAGAAGGAAAACCAAAGAACAGATGCATTTGAATTGATGTGCTGTCAAAGAATATTGAAAGTACTACCGTTGACTGACAAAAAGACAAACAAAGCTGTCTTGGAGAGGCTAGGATGCAGACTTCGTTTTACAGATGTTGCTCATGTTGTCAGGAGAGACCAGTCCTAGAAAGGGACACCTGGCTTGGTAAAGTAGAGGGGCAGTAAAGAAGTGGAAGAACTTCAACAAAACGGAGCAGCACAGTGGCTGGAATAATGAGCTCAAGCGGAGGAACATTTGGGAGGATGGGGCAGGACCGGGTAGTGTTTCCTTCTGTTGTGCATGAGGTCGCTACGGGTGGGAACATGGCAGTGCCAGACATGATGGCACCTAACAACAAGGACAACAGGAGGTGAATGAAAATGTCATGGCTTTGGACAGGCACACCTTAGTCCTAAAAATACCCCACCTGTTTTTCAACACAATAAGGGGTCTGATGTACAGGTTTCCTGGACACAATGTCTGATGTCTTGACTGCTGTTTCCATGGGCATTTACGTGGATCTAAGCAAGATGAAATCTTAGACAACTTAAATCTTTTGTCTACTTATCATGGAAATGTCAGCTACTGGTCCAGTTGTGAGGATATTGGTTTTCTTTACACTAAGTTGTGATTCATACTAAGGCTGCAATCTTTGGAATTCTTCAGCAAGTGTTTCATATCCGGGTCACTTTCTGACACCAAGGTTGTGTTACCTGTGTTTCAAAGGTTGTTAATACACTTTCCTCCAATCCTAATACAACATTCTTCTAAATAAAATCCCATCTCTCTGATTATTTCCTCAGTACATGGAATGAAGTGTAGTGAGAGGATACAACCTTAGATGCACATCTTTACTGATTTAAAACAATGTTCCTGTATCATTCAATATTTTCCCACAGTCTTTTATATTACAATTGCTTGGTTTAAAATCAGGAAATGTGTCAGGAAGGAAAGGTTAATGGACAGACAAGTGATAAATGCAGAAAATTCATTAAGCTGATAAGAATTTCATTTTATTTGAATCTGCAATCAATGCTGATAGAAGCAGCAGTCAAATCAAATGAAATATTTTATTGGGTCAACATGCTGGACAATACCTCTCTAAAGTTTAAGGAGTGGCAGTGCCACTTTGGGGATTAAGGTGCTCTTGACTTAAGCCAGGGTATTTTCAATTACTTCATATTAATGTGAGAACTGGACAATGAATAAGAAAGACCACAGAAGAAATCGTGAAGAATTTGAATTATGGTGCTGACAAAGAACATTGAACGTACCATGGACTGTCAGAAGAACAAACAAATCTGTCTTGGAAGAAACAGTCAGAATGCTCCTTAGTCGTGAAGAGAGCAAGATTTTGCCTCCAGTATGTGTCCCTGGAAAGGGACATGATGCTGACTAGAGTAGGCGGTTAGAAAAAGTGAGGAATACTTCCAAGAAGATGGATTGACACAGTGACGACAAAAAGGGACCCAAACTAAATTGTGAGGAAGGTGCAGGGCAGGGCAATGCTTCATTCGGTTGGAAATACGGTCATTGTGAGGGGGCTTATTGGATATCTAACAAGACTAATAATTTGTTTAATCCTTGAGACCCCTGGGCACTGCAAATGGCTTGTGCTTGACTACTCACCTAAACGTTGGCAGTTCAAGCCACCTCCGAGTATGTTTCCAAAGGAATGTTTAATAATCAGCTCCTGCAAACGTTACGCCCGAGAAAACTATAGCTCGAGTTCTAATCTCTAACGCATTGGTTATCCATCAGTCAGGATGGCAATCTCGTATTAACAATCATTTGAGTTAGGGATTATTTTTATTACTGACTTTTACAGATAAGAAAATTCCAACACAGAAAGGTTATATAACTTGCCCACGATTCTGGGACTACTGTGTGAATAGAAAGCCAGGAACCTAAGCGTATAAGACACGAATCCGCTCCAATGTGTTGGTGACAGATTCATGAAAGGTGGATTACTTCAAGTACAGAGTTGTTTATCTTTCCCCATTCAGGCTCCTCATTTCAGTACTTTTCCTACTACCTCAAAATAGTACTCACAAAACTCTTAAGGATCTTTTCTTTTTAGTAATTTGCAATACTAATACGTGTAGCATAATTTAGTGATCACAAAGGTGAATTATAACTTTGATGCTATTAGATGCCATTAAGTGGGCTTCGCCTCATAGTGTCACTGTGTGCAAGAGACCGAAATGCTGCCCAGTCCTGTGCCGGCTTCACAATTCTTCTTTGAGCGCACTGTTGCAGGCACTATGTCAATCCATCGCATCGAGTCTTCCTTTTTTTCTCGACCCACCTAATTTATGAAGCATGATGTCCTGCGACAGGGACTAGTCAATACTGATAATGTGTCCAAAGTAGGTGTCAGGAAGTCATCTTGCTTCTAAGCAGCATTGTGATACTTCATACAAGATAGATCTTTTTGTTCTTTTAGCAGTCCATGGTAATTTCAATATGCAGCACCAGCAACATAATTTAAATACATTGATTCTTCTTCAGTTTTCCTTATTTGATGTCCAACTTTCACATGCTTAGAAGGTGATGGGAAATACCCTGGTTTCTATTAGTTTTACCTTAGTCCTCAAAGTAACATTTTTGCTTTTCAATATTTTAAAGCGGTTTTGTGCATCAGATTTAGCCAATGAAATATTTCATTTGATTTCCGCAGGTCTGTCTAAATAAGATAGGCTGGATGAACAATCTGGAGGAGAAAACAACAGGACCGAAAGTTCTGGGGGGACATGGGAGAGGGGGAGGTG